AGGCATTGTGGGAAGAGTGCTGGAGGCCAGTCAGGCTACAGTACTACACCACACTGTCCACACTGGCACCCCAGCACACTATCCAAGAGTGCAGCAAGCTCTGTGCTTCTCACAAATCACTAACTGCAGATCTAGTGCGAACTAAGTGATTTGCCAGTGTGGACGCTGTGAAAGTTACAGCACTGAGGGCTGATTTACTACACAGTAACTTACCAGTGTAGACTTGGCCTAGGAGACCTCTATGGGTCATCTAGTCCAGTCCCTTCACTGGTAGGGCTAGGCCATGCTTGCCAGGTGTTTCTCTATCCTGTTCTTGAAAACCTCTAGAGTGAGATTCCATAACCTCCCTAGATATTTTGTCCGGGTGCTGAAGCACTCTTTTATAGTCATCCATAATATCTAACCTAAATTTGTCTTGCTGTAATTTAAGTCCGCTACTACCTGTTCTATCTTCTGTGGATAAGAACAACTTATCACCCTCCTCTTTATAACAGCCTTTTATGTACTTGAATACTGTTATTGTGTCCCCCCCTTCTGGGCACCACATTTCAAGGAAGATGTGGAGAAATTGCAGAAGGTCCAGACAAAAGCAACAAGTATGATTAAAGGTCTAGAGAACATGACCTATGAAGGAAGACTAAAAGAATTGGGCTTGTTTAGTTTGGCAAAGAGAAGACAGAGGAGACATGATAGCAGTTTTCAGGTATCTAAAAGGGTATCACAAGGAGGATGGAGAAAAATTGTTCCCCTTGACCTCTGAGGATAGGACAAGAAGCAATGGGCTTAAACCGCAGCACAGGAGGTTTAGGTTGGACATTAGGAAAAACTTCTTAACTGTGGTTAAACACTGGAATAAGTTGCCTAGGGAGGTTGTGAAATCTCCATCTCTGGAGATATTTAAGAGCAGGTTAGATAGACATCCATCAGGGATGGTCTAGATAGTACTGGGTCCTGCCATGAGGGCAGGGGACTGGACTTGATGACCTCTCTAGGTCTCTTCCAGTTCTAGTGTTCTATGATTCCTCTTCTCCAGACTAAACAAGACAAGGTTTTTTTCATTCTTTCCTTGTAAGTCATGTTTTCTCAACTTTTAATCATTGTTCTTGCTCTCCTTTGGATTTTTTCCAGTTTGGACTTTCTCCAGTGTGTCCACAACTTTCCTAAAGTGTGGTACCCAGCGCAGCACACAGTTCTCCAGTTGAGGCTTTATCAATGCTGTGTAGAATGGAAGAATTCTTGTCTTGCTTACAACTGTTTGGGTTTTTTTGCAACAGTATTACATTGACTCACATTTAGTTTATCTCTAACCCTCAGATCCTTTTCTGCAATACTCCATCCTAGGCGGTCATTTCCCATTTTGCAATTCATTTTTTTCCTAGTGGTGGTATTTTTGTGTTTGTCCGTATTGAATTTCAACCTGTTTATTGCAGGCCTTTTTTCCCTATTTGCCAAGCTTAAGTTGAATTTTAATTCTATCCTCCCATGTGCTTGGAATCTTTCCTAGCAGGGGTTATCTGCCATCTTTTTATCCCAAGAGTGATTGTGGTGGTGGTGTTTCTGCATATATCTTTCAGTCCTCCTAAGAACATGAGCTGTTGCTCAGAGCCAATAGCTCTCGATTAAAATTCCTTTAATGAACCAAGAGATGCATAGGGAGGATTCCTTAACTCTTCTAAACCTTCCTGTTTGCATTGTTGATTAAGATTAAAAGTGCAATTAAAAAAAAAAAGTAACGAGGAATGGAACTAGAGGAGCTCTTCCATCTCTCCAGTTGTCATGACCACCAGCATTCAGTTTCAGATGAAATCAATGTTACAGTAAAACTCCATTGGTCCGGCTTCAAATGCTCCGGCACTCCTGATGATCTGGCACCATTGGGAACCCGGAAGTGCTCCGGGCAGCCGGACAATTGGAGCTGCTCTTGCGCCTGGCTTCCCCAATTGAACTAGAGGAGCTCTTCCATCTCTCCAGTTGTCATGACCACCAGCATTCAGTTTCAGATGAAATCAATGTTACAGTAAAACTCCATTGGTCCGGCTTCAAATGCTCCGGCACTCCTGATGATCTGGCACCATTGGGAACCCGGAAGTGCTCCGGGCAGCCGGACAATTGGAGCTGCTCTTGCGCCTGGCTTCCCCAATTAAGCCGCTGCTGAAACTAGCTGCTCTGCCCCAGGCGTCCCCGATTCAGCCGCTGCTGAAACTGACAAGCAGCAGCTGATTCCGGGAAGCCCGGGGCAGAGCCAGACTATCAGAAGGGGGGGCTATGAGGGGTCTGGGGTGGCATCCCCCAACCCCACCCCAGACCCCTCATAGCCCCCCCTTCCGATAGTCTGGCATATCTGATAATGCGGCACCCCCTGGGTCCTAAAGGTGCCAGATTATTGGAAGTTTACTGTAGTTCGTTTCAGCATAAGTACAGATCTGATATCTATTAGAATGAGAACAGAGCTTTCATTCTGAGGATCTGCAGCTTAATGTTAGACTTGTTTAAACAGCTACTTTAGGGTTGGGTTTGTCTTTGAGCAGAATGTCAAAAAAAGCATACTGAACAGAAATAAGAGTCCATTGGCAACTTCTGTAGCACCTTTCTTGCAAAACGCATCCCTAGACACTTTAGTGGAACTAAAGACACCAATTCATTTTGTCCAGTTAGTTTTCTGTAGCCTAGTCAATTCTTTTTAAAATAGTTTGTATATTTTTGTTCAGTAAAAGCTCTTTCTTCAGGGGAAAAAAAAGCTGTTAGTGAGAAATTTTCATTCGGTCATTTCTCCTTTTGATTTGTCCAAACATCCCAGCTGCTCTCATAATCTTACTATAAAAGGTGCTCGTGTTCAGTTTTCAAGTACCTGTAGGGTTTTGAACACTATCCAAAGTGGAAGAATTGTTTTTTCTTTTAGAAATACTGGGTTTGGTTTCTGATTTTATTTATGTAAGAAGAACTTGAAATGTTAGAACTGCATGAATTGCCTTGTAATTCTGTTTCTGCGGGCATCCCTTAATGCCCCCATTTCCCTCTAGGCATCAATGCAGAGAGATTGCCAGTTGCCTTTTAACAGCATCTGAGCAGTTATTGCTGTAGTTCTAAGGCTATGTCAACACAAACACAGCAACCACTCCAGCCCTCCCCCTGCAGCAGCAGTATGCCTGCCACCATGTTCCTAGAACAGGGCAGAACAAAGAGCAAATCATTGGAATGTGTCTGTTCCCCCAAATGGAGCAGCTCACTCAGCTGTCAGATACTTCCCAGGAGCTGTGAAAGGGAAAGGGGCACATGCCTGCAGGGCAGCAGAGATCACAAAACACTGAGCACAGCCAAAAGGGCAAGCATTGTGGAATATTGGCAGAAGCAAGTTCTCTCAATAAAACAAAGCTCCACACTGACTCTTTGGCGACAAAGAGTGGGGGGAGAGAGACAAAAGTCTCTCGCAGGACTAGAAGGCTTTTGTTGCCAAAAATGGGTGTTTTTCTCAACAAAAATTACATTGCAATGTAAACACTCTGTCTCAAAAAGGCACTTTTTTGGCAACAAAACATGCCGGTGTAGTTAAGCCCTGAGTGTGTTCTCTTGCAAGTGTTCTACCTGGCCATTTTACTCTGTGCCCTGTATGTGAGTAGTGGACTTTTTCATAAAAGAGAAGAAGGGAGCTTTTTGGGTGAGACTTACTGGTTAAGGTTGACCAGTGGGAGCTGGAGCAGCTGGCAGGGACTGCTCTGTGACGGGGGCAGGGGGAGAGACTCCAGCACAGAGGCAGGTAGAAGGATCCACCCGCTTGCCCCACTATAATTGGTTAACCAGTTAAACGTGTTTCTGCCAATTAAACTAGCTTTTACATCCCTAATACTGACACAGTCTTGACCTGTTTAGCTTGTTAAATCTGTTCGTTTCCCCCCCTCCCCCAAGATTATATGATTGAGGGCTGTGAGTTCCCATCACAGCTCAGGAAGGTGACTGACATTGGAGTGTTGAAAGCGAAGTGTAGTCCAGTGTGGTCATTCTTTCACAATATTTGTAGTGTGAGGGAGAAAGTAAGACGTGGAGGAATTTGCTGTTGGGGGAAGGAGGGGTGGAGGGGGATTAACCACTGCGCTTCTTTATGTACTTTAAATGTTACTTCAGACTTTATGCTTTAAAAAAACATATCTGCAGCAGGTATGTACACGTTTCTGAATCCCTCCAGGGAGACAGGGAGAGTATTACGTACTATTAAACAGTTCCCATCCTTCTCCCTTGGTTAAATTCCCTTGGTTTCCTAGCATGGCAATGGCTACATTGGCTAGGGATTTGGCAGCAGATTTTCAGGCAGTTTGAGCGAGAAATGACAACAGCTGGGAGGCTAGGATGTGAGAATCTGACTGTGGAACTTGTTTGACTAAAGAATGAAGGAGCTCTTCATCGATATCAGAAACCAGAAATGTATTTAACCCGAGATAGTAACTGCTTTTGGAATTGACAGGCTCAGGGGAACATTAATGGGATGCAAAGCTCTTTGCCTCTTACCAGAATCGAGTCTTGGTTAGGCACAGCCATGTGTTAAGTCACTGAACAGTTGTCTGATGTTATGTGAAATGAGGTGGCGAGTCTGTCTGATATGTAGTGAAGGGATGCCTGTGTTACCCCTGGACACTAGTTTGTAATCTCAAGACTTAAGGGCACTGAACTCCTTCTCAAACCTAGTTTAGTTTCTCTTCAAACGCTGTCTTTTCCCCCACATACATTCTTCCTCCATCCAAGTTAGGTTTGGAACTGATTGGTGGGGAAGTATGCTTCGAAGCAGAACCTATTCTAAGGATTAACAGGTTTTGATATTCAGATAAATTCAGCTAGAAAACTATTTCTGAACCTTGAACAAGGGAATGGCTTAACAGACTCCATTTTCAGTCCCCTTATTAGCCACTAAGATAGAGGCCAAGACATGAATATATCGATAGGTTAGCTGCCCTCTGAGACCCCCGCCTTTCATGTTTTACACACCATTTACTATTTCTTAGCTGCTTTTTTTTTTTTTTAAGTACTGCATTAGTGGGTGGAAACTGGATTTGCCTAATTCACATTGGCAGACTCTACCATTCAGTGGCAACTATCTTCTGTAACTGAATGCATGTTGTTTGTTGCATGGCCTGGAAATTGACCAGATTATGGGGGTTGCTCTTTGTGTTACAGACATACAGGGAGAGAAGTGCAATCTATAATCCCCATTCCCCCCCTTTCTTCTCCTCCCCCCCCAAAAAAACCCCCTCCCAATACTCTGTTCCTCGGCTTTTCTTTCTGTCTGTAAATTTAGCAAATATTATTGGCCATTTTTAAAGCTGGTTCTGTCTCAAAGCTTAGGAAGACCAGTGTCCTAGCCCAAAGAGAAGAGTTTCCCTGCTCACAGATCTTTTTCCTTGTCCTGATTTCTGCAGCTTTGATCTGTTCATGCTCCAGATGCAATCAAGCAAACTTCACATGCAAAACAGATGGGGCTTGCATGGTCTCCATCTCTAACCTGGATGGTGTTGCACATCACATGCGGGCATGCATCCCTAAAAAAGAGCTTGTTCCTGCTGGAAAACCCTTCTACTGCCTGAAATCAGAAGGTCTGCGTAACACACATTGCTGCTTCTCTGATTACTGCAATGAAATTGACCTAACGGTGCCCAGTGGTGAGTAAAGAAATCCTCTTGTTTTGTTGAAGAGAGTACTGTCTAATAGAGTAGGGCTGGGAACCACAGCTCCTGAATCCTTTCCCCAGTTTTGACACTAATTTGTCTTGTGAACATGGGCAGTTCCTTCATATCTACCTCCATTTCCTGTTCTGTAAAATGGAAGTAGTGGTGATCTACCTCATGGAAGGTTGTGAAGCTGTTTAAGATCGTCTGATGATAGGCAAAATATCAAATTACACCACTCAGTTTGTAGGGTGAGAAGAAGCGCTTGGTTTGTATTTTTCTCTGATCTGTCCTCTGTTTCACCCACCTTCAAATGTTTGCTGTGATCAAGATATCACATCTCCCATCACATCAGCACTGCCCCCTGCAGAAACTTTGAAAACAAGGCTTTCTCCTTGCTTCCACTTAGGCTTGGATAGCCTGTCTTTGCTTAGCACTCTAAGCCCAGAATGGTCTGAGGACAAGGAGCAAAATCCCCCTTGTGGCAGTGAGTTGTGCTGCAGCCTGCTCTTGATCTGATAGAATTGCTTCCTGTGGGACTGAAATTCCTGTTGTGGTCATGAGCACCAAGCATGGTTTTACAGTTGAGTAAAATGAGCATGATGCTTGAACTCTGAATGAGGCCTTTCCTTGAACGAGGGAGCTGGAAGAAATCTGACTTCAGTTGGATTTTTAAGGCCAGAAGGGAGCACCCTATTGGCTAAACCGGGGTAGGTGATAAATGGCCCGTGGACCAGATGTGATTTGCCAGGTTTAGCCTCTGGCAAGCTACCAGACACTTTATTTACCTAATAGCCTACCTGAAATTCTGTTTTTATTTAAAGGGATAAGGTAGACCTTTCCTGCCTGAAAATGACAGCCTGGCTATCTTTGATATTTAGAAGTTGCTTCCATTTCATATCTGTGTAGATGTGCTAGCTTGTAGAATACTTTTGGGTCCCCCACAGGCAATTAGTATTGCAGATAGTGAGTGGACTCAATTTAAAAAGGGGGTATGCAGCAAGGTTCAGAGTATGTACTCAAGAGACAAAGGAGTTTTTGATTTCTAGAGCTACTTTTGATACGTTTTACAGTACTATGCAGTAGCACATCGAGACTATTTTAAAAGAGCACTGCACATGAAGAAGTAGATAAACAGCTAAATAAAGTGTCTGGCGGCCTGCTGGGGCTAACCCTGGTGAACCATGTCTGGCTTGCGGACCATTTATTGCCTGCCCAGTCTAAGCTGACAGCCTGTAATGCTCAACTGGTCACACTAAACCCAACAGCCCATTCTGTCAGAGAAGGTACATGCTGCTTAACCTCCCCCATTCCGTGCATTTTCATGAACAGCAGAATAGTATCCTTATCCACCAAGGTAGGAAGTGAATTCTGTTTTGTCTTCATAATCAATTTGGTGAAGCAGTTTAAGCTGAAGACTCATTGGCTGTTACATGGATTGGACCTTCCTACTTCACTATTTTGTATTAAGTTGGCTTTGTTAATAGCTAGCATAATGCTTTAGCTGTAGTGCTATGCGAAGACAATGACCAGTTTATTTTGAGGGGAAGGAATGCTTTGTGTTAAGCTCAAATGATCTGGCTGACTAGGCAGTAGTGACTGTGCGAGGAGAGAGCAACACGTGCAGGCCTAGGGCAGAAAGCTAGGTTAATGCCAGATTTTGTCTCCTGGGCAGGAATAAAAAGGGAAATCAAGGAGCACAGGCCCCCTAATAAATGCAACTGCCGTTCCTTATGTGAAGTGGAATCTGTGTTTCAGATGGAAGATGCATTGTAGCCTGGTCTTCTGAAACTATTTGGGTACAGTTGTGGGCTCCAAGATGGTAATTTAGGTTCTGAAGTGAGACTGTAGTGTAAACCCTAAACTGGGCACTCCACTGGGGTCATCAGCTGCTACTTGCTGTTCTAGTAATAGTGATCATGACCTTTCTCATCTGTTATTCCAACTTAGCCTATTTACTTCTGCTTTGCAATAGCTAGTGAATTAGCATTGCAGCTGGGAATGTCCTTTTCAAAGTCCTGAAACAGAGTTAAAGTAGCTTAAGCTCTAAGAGTAGGAATCGGGGACTCTTCCCTCCAGTATATAGAGAACATGAATAAAGGAATCAAAGGGTACGTCTAGACTACAGGCTTTTGTCGACAAAGCTTCTGTCGACAAAGAGCGTCTACACTACATCCAGTTCTGTCGACAAATCAAGCCGCTTTGTCAACACGAGTGTAGACGCAAAGGACAGTGTAGATGCAATAACACCTTCTGTCAACAGCACTCTGTCGACAAAAGACATTATTCCTCGTAGAATGAGGCTTGCCGCCGTCGTCAAAACTGCCGAGTTCTGTCGATGTTATGTTGACAGAACTCGGCGGTAGCATAGACACAGGTATAGTTTTGTCGACAAAACCCTGTAGTCTAGACACATCCATGCTGTGTGTTAAAATGTTTTTTTTTCCTCCTCCCACTACAGGTCACGTGAAAGAGAATGAACTTCAGTCTGGTTGGGGCCCTGTGGAGTTGGTAGCAGTGATTGCAGGGCCTGTCTTCCTTGTGTTTGTCATCTTGATTGTAGTGGTTTTTGTCTTTCATCATCACCAACGAGTTTATCACAATCGTCAGCGGTTGGACATGGAAGATCCCTCTTGTGAAATGTGTCTGTCCAAGGATAAGACTCTGCAAGATCTAGTTTATGATCTCTCCACTTCTGGCTCCGGCTCAGGTATTAAGCTCCTGTTACTTTTCAGAAATAATAAATTACGTCCAATAGTAATGGAATTCTGTATTCTGAAGTGCTCATCACCATGGTATCTCAGCTCCAATATTAGCCCATTGGCTACATTTCCTTATCTGCAGTCTGAATGGTAAGGTCACTGGTGTTTATTCTAAATTCAGCTGAACATCAGAGTGTGAAGCCAGTGGCTCAGGATCAGCACTTGGATACTTTGGGAACTGTAGGATGCATGAGAGATGTTGCACTCTATGTAAATGCTAAATGATTCAATTATGGTAAAGTCTCCTTTGTGGAGTTCAGTATATAAAAATCTAGATCCTAGGCAGGAAACAATTCCACATACCTGTAAATGCAACGTCAGCTACAGCAGTCCCTTTTGTTGTTGTTGAACTTGATACTTTACTGTGACTTGGTATACGATGCATCTGGTTCATGTGAATGGTTGAACACCGTGCAGCCCTGTGCAACAGTTTGAGACTTGAGATGTATATACAGTCGACCGTCTAGCCTGTAGATTACCCCTGCAACATAACTTATCTACGTAGGCATTTGACCAGGTTATAAGCATTAAATGCCGTGTCTCCTCTGCAAAATGCTTTGGGGTCTTTAATGACTAAAGCTTGTCAGGACAAGCTTTATGTTTTACCTGAAAGAATGCACCTACAGCAGCATAATAGCCCCCTAATACATGCTGGGGTGTTGCCTATTTTAGCACTGTCTCTTAGTCTTTAACCATCTTCACTTCTTATGTTTAGTCTCTAGATGTTTCTTAGAGAACCCTCCCCCTGCGAACATTGACTCTGCTCAGCATACAAGATCTGATGGGATCACAGCATAAGGTGCTAGGCCAGGTTTTGGCCCAAAGTTACTTGAAATAGCTGAAAAATTGCAGAACCCTTGTGGTGGTCCATTGAGATGTTTTAGCACTTAAGAAGTGTGTGATGTATTGATCTTCTTGTAGAGTGAAAGCAAGCCATTTAATTTTGTAGCTACTTGTGTGATTTTTTTTTTGGTAATCTGCCACTGCTGATAAAAGACCTTCCGTGTTGGTCCTGTCATAGCAGATTGAGAGTAACTTTTGGTTAGAAATGTTATTTCTTAGTCCAGTGTGCGTGTTCTGCTCAGTGCTGCTCAGATAGTGTAGTGATGAATGCAGTAAAAGAACGTGTATGGAATAGTAATACTTCAGATCCAGTCAGAAAAACTGCTTGCATAACCTGGGGCAGGATGTTCTCCAAAACATCTGTCTACAGAATTTTGTTGACTCAGACTTTATTCAAATCCACAAAGAAGTGTTTGGAAGTGATCAGTCAGTTATAGTGAATGACTGACTGGCAATAGGGAGAAACCCGTAATAGTCTGATTCATATGTTGGAAATCTGATTCATTCATATATATATATGTGTGTGTGTGTGTGTGTGTATATATATATATATAGTAGGCCAGTGTCTGAGTCTGTAACACCGAAATGCTGGCTGTTGCTGAAATGGTGGCTGTTCCCTCTGGGTGGCCCATGCCGCATGGGGAGCGCGGGGCCCAAACGGCTGCTTGCGCCGCTTGCTCCCCCGTGGTGGCCCGGCTGAGCGGTGCAGAAGTCAGCCGAGTGCCACGGCGGAAGGGGAAAGGAGGCAGGGTGGTGACGTACATGCCCAGGGGGTGGGGCCTGGCCATGTACGCGCCACGGCAGGAGGGGAAGGGGGGTGGGGCGCTGACGTGCGGCGTGACAGTGGCGCCAGGCCTCGTGCCCTGGCCGTGAACGTCACCCCCCTGCCCCCCTTTGCCTCCCTCAGTCGCGCTCGGCTGATTTCTGTGCCGCTCAGCCAGGCCACTGCAGGGGAGCAAGTGGCGCAAGCAGCCGTTTGGGCTCCACGCTCCCCATGTAGCATGGGGAGTGCGGAGCCCAAATGGCCACTTGGGCTCCGCAGTCCCCTGACTGAGAGGCAGGAGGGGGGGGAGAAGAGAAAGAGGGAGACATAGAGAGAGGCAGGGGGCCGGGGGGGGGGGCGGGGGAGGCAGTAGGAGGAGGAAAAGAGAGAGAGCGATGGAGCGAGAGACCAGAGGCTCAGGAGAGAAGACCAATGTGGAGGAGAGACCTGAAAATCCCGTCTTATGACGGGCTAATTGTCTAGTGTTGGAATAAAGGACAAGGATGAGAGCATCTTCTCTCTTCCAATCACTGCTCCCAAATCAGTTCTAGAGAGAAGGAGGTGAAGTTTTTGGGTTGTGAAGATTTGTTCTTGAATACTTCCATCTCTGGCAGTGAGAGAGTTCTTGGGTACCACAAGGGTGGATCCTGCATTTTTCTTTGGACTGCTAAACACAATAAAATTAAATCAAACACAGACAACCCTCTGGATATTCTGTTCTAAACTCCATAGCATCTCTCAAGTGTCCCTCAAAGTTCTTCTTTCAATCTCTTGTCCACAGGTTTGCCGCTCTTTGTTCAACGAACTGTGGCTCGAACCATTGTCCTTCAGGAGATCATTGGCAAAGGTCGCTTTGGGGAAGTGTGGCGTGGCAGGTGGCGTGGAGGTGACGTAGCTGTGAAAATCTTTTCTTCGCGGGAAGAGCGCTCCTGGTTCAGGGAAGCAGAAATATACCAGACTGTCATGTTGCGACATGAGAACATCCTGGGGTTTATTGCTGCAGATAACAAAGGTAAAAATCCTGTCTCGATCTTCAGCATCAAAGCACCAGTGGTCATAAGTTCCTCAGCGATCCCATGTTCTAGTACAGGATCTACTTTTTTTTTTTAAATGAAACCGATAAAGAAAACCATCAGTATATTCATAAAGCATAATGATCATTTCTTCAAATTATAAAAAGAGCCAGCTATAATTAAAAACTATTAACACTGTCAGTGTGCCCTAGCTTGTGCCAAGCTGCCTGTGAGGTTTGAGCGTCAGAGCCGGCTTCCCGCTGTGGGGGAGGGATGGGGAGTGAGCTTTGTGGGCTGGCTCCAACTTGTGGGAGAAGTGGTGGCTCCATATGCTGCAGCTCCCCCTCCTCCAGGAACTGTTCATCTGGAGGCTTTTCCCACTGCTCCCATTGACTGGAATCACCCCTGCTCCCTCCTCAGTGGAAGCAGCACGGGGCAGTACCTGAGAGTAGTGAGAGGCACAGAGTCTAGGGGAGGCACTCTCCATCCCACTCCCTTCCAGATCCCATACTCTCATCCCCTCCCCACAGACCTCCCTTCAACCTGCTCCTACATCCAGTCACCCACCTAGTCTTCACACCCTTACCCACTCTTCCACCCATTTTGTCATCATGGGTGGTTGGCTGGTGGTCTGCAGACAGGTCTGCATTGAGCGAGGTAGGGGAGGTTGGTACGTTGGTAGGGCACGGATAGGGTCCAGAGTGACCTAGATAAATTGAAGGATTGGGCGAAAAGAATTCTAATGAGGTTCAACAAGGACAAGTGCAGAGTCCTGCACTTGGGACAGAAGAATCCCAAGCACTGCTACAGACTGGGGACCAACTCACTAAGTAGCAGTTCAGCAGAAATGACCTGGGGATGACAGTGGATGAGAAGCTGGATATGAGCCAGCAGGGTGCCCTTGTAGTCAAGAAGGCTAACGGCATATTAGGGTGCATTAGGAGGAGCATTGCCAGCAGATCTAGAGAAGTGATTATTCCCCTTTATTCGGCACTGGGGAGGCCACATCTAGAGTATTGAGTCCAGATCTGGCCCCCCCACTACAGAAAGGTTGTGAACACTTTGAAAAGGATCCAGCGGACGGCAACCAAAATGATTGGGGCCTGGAGCATATAACATATGAGGAGAGACTGAGGGATTTGGATCTGTGTAGTCTGCAGAAGAGTGAGGGGGGATTTGATAGCAGCTTTCAGTTTGCTGAAGGGAGGTTCCAGAGAGGATGGAGAGAGGCTGTTCTCCGTGACGGATGGCAGAACAAGGAGCAATGGTCTCCGGTTAGTGGGACAAAACCCTCCTGGGATGATTTAATTGGGATTGGTCCTGCTTTGGGCAGGGGGCTGGACTTGACCTGCTGAGGTCTCTTCCAGTCCTAGGATTCTATGAGGTGATCTGCAGGCCAAAAAGTTTGAGAACCTAGACGATCTAGATCAGGGGTCTCCAAACTACGGCCCACGGGCCGAATGCGGCCCGCGAGGCCCTCTCATCTGGCCCGTGGAGACCTTTTTGTCTACGGAAACAATTTTGGCATCCAGGAAACAATTTCACCATTCACACTAATACAGGTGTTCATGTGTAGTGTATCAATGTGTTATTAAATAATAACTGAATAAAATAATATTAAATAAATAATTAAAAACAACATCCATGTTTTGATTGTTTTTTATTTGGACCTCAAGTGTGTAGTCGGCCCCCGAACTGCTGTTTGATAGTTAATGCGGCCCTCGGGCTGAAAAGTTTGGAGACCCCTGAGCTAGAGTGAGGGATGTTTTGTTCAAGTAGTGTCCCTTCCAGTTACAGTATTCTGTGATTTTTAATGATAAACAAAATGCATTATAAATGCTGATGTTTTGCTGCTCTTTCCCCTTTTTCTCTTGCTACAGATAATGGGACATGGACTCAGCTGTGGCTTGTCTCCGATTACCATGAGCATGGCTCACTATTTGATTACCTCAACAGATACACAGTGACTATCGAGGGAACGATTAAACTGGCCCTGTCTGCTGCTAGTGGCTTGGCACATCTGCACATGGAGATTGTGGGGACCCAGGGTAAGAGGGTTCTAGAAAAGTATTATCAACATGAACTGGTCATTCTTTGGAAGAGACTTAAAGCAGGAAGACTAATATGGGGCGCTTATGATGCACAGGTGCCTTGTAGTCGGAGAGCTAGAATTTAATCATAAAATGAAAGTGGAAATATGCCTTAGATTGGGGGTCAGCAATCTACGGCCAGTTTTTCACTGCCACGTAAGCCTCCCCGCTGGATCCAGCGTGTGGGGAACACTAGGACCTCCCATCCCAGTTCCGCAACTGGGACAGGCTCACGCTAGCACGGTGCAGCAGCAACGGCCGACACAGACACAGAATGTAGGCACTTTGCTGCCAGGCAGCTGGGGATTTTTCAAGTCCCCACCGCCCACTGCAGCTGTCCCATCACCGCATGCTGCATGGCCTCCTCCCTTCCCTCGCAGGGCTACCTTTGCCACATGGGCCCCAGTCCAGCCACACTACCACTGCCGCCTCCATCTCCAGGTGCCCACTTGTTACAACAGCTACCGCCACTGCTGGGGGTGGGGGAGCGGCCAGCCAGATACGAGGCAAACCCTGGCGGAGCCACTCCCAGACCTTACTATTTTGGAGCTACTGCTTCAGCCCCAGGAAGGGCTGTGCGGAGCCCAGCTGGGGCACTGCGAGGCAGGGCATGCTTGGGCTCAGCCAGTGTGCTTCATGTGCTGCTGTTCTCCCCCCTCCCCGTTGTGGGAGCAGCAGCGCATGGAGCCGCTTGCTCTTCTGCTCTCTGCCATGAGCCAGGTCTGGAGGGGAAAGTCAGGGCTTTCTTCACATGCGCGCCCTCCGAGTGGGAAGCCAGAGCTGGTGCTGCAGCCTTGCAGCTGTGTGGGCTCCCTGCTGCATGGAGGAGAGAGGGTTGCTGAGCCAGGTTAGTGTCCCTCAGTCCACTCCCGAATCTCCTTCACTCACTCTCCTGCCCCCACCAAGACCCCATACCCCCAGCTTGCTCTGACATGCTTCCTTGCTCCTGCTCCCTCCCCTTGGCTAGACCCTACCTCCCTTCCAGATCCTGCACCCCAGCCCTATCCCACTCGCTGGCAGCCTTGTCTCGCACACTGAATACCTCATTTTTGTCCCCACCCCAGAGCCTAAGAGGGTCCATAAAGTCCACTAACTCTGAACCCCCAGAAAAGTAAATCTGGTCTATAGGAAACCCTGAACCTCAGTTTTCCCTGTCCCTTTCTGGCACTCCCTGAGGCTGGCGCACCAGAGGAGTGAGGTCTCAGTTGGGGGCCACATCAGGGAGGATTGGGAGGGGAGGTTTGGAGGAGATTTTGTTTCTTACTTGAGAGGTCCCCAACTGATTTTTCTGTGGGTCAGTAGCCCCTGACCCAAAAAAAGTTCTCCCTCCCATAAAGAAAGAAAACATTGAAGCCTTTTGCGTTGGACATAAATTAACAATAATTGTGCCTCGGATTAACCTCATTGGCTACGATACTGCCACTGTGATTTTAAAATGACATTTGATAAACTAACATGAGAGAGTTTAAAATGTTTAATCATTTAAATTAAACCGTTCTCCCTAGCGGCAGCTGGTTCAGAAAATATAATCGCCAGCCCCCGTCCCTCTTACTCCTTTTTCCCCTGGCACACAGATCAATAAATAGAAATGGATAAATTAATCTTGGCATGCTGCTTCTGAACGGTTGCTGACCCCTGCCTTAGTCCTCCTGCAAGATCTGAATCTAGGCCAGTTTAGCTAGGTCAAGTCTAGCTTTTCTTAGACAGATACCCACATCGCGCGCGCATATACTTAACTTGGTCCTGGTTGGGTGTGGGGAGCACAGAAGATGGTAGTATAGGCAGTAGCAGGGCAGAACAGATTATAACCTCTTCAGATCAGGAGCCATGTCTCTGTGTGTCTGAGACACCTGGTGCAGTGGGTCTGCTGCAGTTTAAATCCTAGTGCGTGGGGGGTAAATGGAAGCTCTTCAGTGTTTTTAGTGCCTTTTCTTGGTACCAAGTTTAGTTTAAATAAGAGACTGAAGAAAGAACAAGGCTGCAGATCTTACTGTGCGTACAGATGTTAAGATTCAAATTCACTCTGGATTTGATGACTGCCTCAGTCCCATTTTCTGCATTCAGCTCATCTGCACTGATCAGACTCAGTAAGGGGAGAGAAAAGTCTGCTATTGAGACTTCTTATCTTGCTCCATCAGGAAAACCAGGCATTGCACACAGGGACTTGAAATCGAAGAACATCCTGGTGAAGAAGAATGGAATGTGTGCCATCGCTGACCTGGGTCTGGCAGTCCGCCATGATTCTGTTACCGATACCATAGATATTGCACCAAATCAAAGGGTTGGAACCAAACGGTAGGGAGAGTGCTCAGCTGTACTCCCGGTCAAGGCTCAGTGCTAACCGAATGAGGGCATAGAAAGGGTTTGAGCCTCACTGGGAATTGGTAGAGTTTCTAGCTTAGATATAAGCAGGGTTTCCAGGGTGGTGAAGGAGAACTTTTAGTGGCTTTTTAAAAAATTTATGAATAAATTAATTCTAGGTTTGGGGACTCAAGCAGTCACTGCCTACTGCCCCTTCCCTCTGCTTGTGTGCTTCCAAGGCAGAGGTTGGTAGCTCGCCTCTGCTTCAGGGAACTCGCCTATAGGGTCCCTCGCCTCCATCCTGGCCTCAGGGGTCATGCTGTCTTCGGCTCAGTGCACATCTGACCATTCTTGCGTCCCTAGCTGACCCCTCCTCTTTCCTTCTTTGTTTGGATCATCGTTCTGTTTGCTCTCTTAACACAGTGCCTGCTTCTGTCTGGATCATTGGGCTCAGCATGACTCTCATTGCTGTGCAGCATCCAAGCACTGTACAGGCAACTTGTGTTGTATACAACAAATAGGGAGAAGTCCCCACTGAAGGCCTTCCAGAAAGTCCTCTGACAAGGAAATGACATTTGTTTTTTCTTTGCTGCAGGTACATGGCCCCTGAGGTCTTGGATGAAACCATTAACATGAAGCATTTTGATTCATTTAAATGTGCTGATATCTATGCTCTGGGCCTGGTCTATTGGGAGATTGCTCGTAGGTGCAGTTCAGGAGGTAATATGCTTTCAGCTTTTCTGCACTACTGTCCACTCCCCCCTTCCCCCCAAAACAAACAAACCAACCCCTTGTCTTTGACTTAGTTGAAGCCCAGAGCATAAAGAGAACCTATCCTTCCAGCAGTCATGGGGATAGCTATAGTCCTGGGATGGGGGGGTAAATGCAATGTCACCCCGGAGTATGTCCACCAAGATGGTGGAAGAGTGGAGAAGTGACTCAAGACTGCTAGCAGACCAGGCACGTGAGAGGCGATGGGTAGCAGTGCTGTTGGTGGCACACCTATTTCTGTAGCCAAATCTGAGAGAAGAAAGTGGTGGTGCTGCTGATGTAGAGCATGGGTTGCTTCCCTATGAATCTGTACTGAATCAGGGCCCTAGTATATCTCAGGGGATGGGGATATCGTTGTTGAAAGTGCCACACAGTCCTGAGCACATGTGGTCGGTAAGCATTCCCTGCCCCTTTTCCCAGGAGAGAGGTGGTGTTAACCCCAATGGCCTAGCCTAATCCCAGTTCAGCTAACTGCCTTCTGCTTCCCTGCACTGCTGACACCTCACTTTTGTAAATCATGTAATCCAGGCTGCAGTAATGCGGCTCTGGTGAGAGGGGATCACGCTGTTCTATCTCTGTGGATGACTTTTTCCCTTCTCATGCTCAGGTATCCATGAGGAATATCAACTCCCGTACTATGACCTTGTTCCCTCTGACCCCTCCATTGAGGAGATGCGGAAAGTTGTGTGTGATCAGAAGCTGCGCCCCAACATCCCTAACTGGTGGCAGAGCTACGAGGTAGGATCTGTCAGTCTTCATTTGAGCCTTAGGGAAAAGCACTATCCACCCAGTGGGTAGATTAGATTCAGTCCTGAAGGCAGAGTTCCTAATTCCAGCCTCCTTGCTTACTGATTTTCCTACTCCTGCCCTGGAGGGACCGACCACTCCCAAATGTTTTGGGGCCCATGGGGAAGCCCAGAGGGACAGAACATGGAGACTTGAAAGTCCCATCTGAGACAAGGAGTAGGTGATCACTCTATTGCACTGTACTCAGTGGAGAAGCTCCCAGAGCTGGGATAGCACCTCTGTTTGGAGTCCACTGGGCTCCACTCATGTTGTGTCTGAAATCCAGTGAGTGGTTAATAATTCCCCATTAATCAATGGCAAGTGAACTTTGTTACCCTGTAACTGCTCTTGGGCTGTGAAACATCTACCTGTTAGTGCTTGAGTTTTTCAGAGCGCTGTACTAATGCTCAGAACAATCTTGAGGTCACTATTATGTAGATTGAGTAAGCAGTTGGGTTTTAGGGACATGAAAAATGTTAATAAATATTAACCGTGTAACCGGTGGAATTTCCATTGTTTACACCAATTAAGTGGCCCCATGGGCTGCTGTCCCTGCTGGCTCTGTGCTCCCAAGCAGAGTTTGAACAGTAACAGGAACCAATACGCATCAGCTTATAGGTTAACCATTAAAACTCTTACATCCCTATGCTTAGTGCAGTTCCCAATGGCCCATGTCATTACAAAAACCAGCAGTAATGCATTCCCATGTTTAGTGGAATAGCCAAGAATCAAGTGACCCATGAAGGGATAGCACATCTGTAGAAGGTTACAGTTGAAGTATGCTGGCAAGTTAGCATAGGCAGTGGCAGTGCCGGTTCTTGGAATAAGCAGAAAGCTTCCATCTCGGCACAGTTACACCAGCATCTTCCACAAGTATTAGAGTCACTTTAAACTGTTGATTCGGTGTCTTAGCAGAAGGAGCTGAACTCTGAAGGAAAGGCCTGACATTTCTCTCCCTGCTTCCTGGCTAGGCTTTACGCGTGATGGGCAAGATGATGCGTGAATGCTGGTATGCCAATGGCGCAGCTCGGCTAACAGCCCTCCGCATCAAGAAAACACTCTCACAGCTCAGCATCCAGGAAGATGTGAAGATCTAGCCTGCAAGTTGCAGCTTGAGGAAGCTGCACAAAAGCTGCCATGCTAGAGTAGATGTGATTGAGGCCTACCTCGCGTTTCTACCCGACCTACTGCTACCAACCAGACCGGGAGATTTATGGGCTGCTAGCCAGGGAGGACAAAGCCTGCTAAAATAAATGTTCTCTTCCTGGTTTGGGTATGAAACGGAAACCTTTTTATAACCACCTCCTGACAGCATGGACACTGGAGAGGGATTGTGTGGCTGGATCTTGCCATGACCATTACTTTTGTTTCTTTGATGGAAATCCCGGTGTAGTCCAGTGAATATGGCACATTCATTGGAAAGGGTTCAA